ATATATGGAAAATTGATGTGGGTACTCAAATGAAAGCTCTTTATGAGTGTAACATCGGGATGAGCTTACATGTTTAAAAATATCAATAAATAAAAAATGGCCTTGTATCTTGTGAAATATTGACATTTTCAAAGATATAAGCTCATTCCGATGTTACACTCATCGATACCTTTTATTTGAATACCCACATCAAATTTTCATATATTTTATATATTTGTATACTTCACAAATACCATATATATATAAAATATATAAAATATGCCATGTGGGTATTCAAATGAAAGTCCTCGATAAGTGTAACATCGGGATGAGCTTACATCTTCAAAAATATCAATAATTAATAAATGACCTTGTATCTTGTGAAATATTGACATTTTTAAAGATATAAGCTCACTTCGACATTACACTCATCAATACCTTTCATTTGAGTACCCACACCAATTTTTCATATATTTATATATATTATATATATGTATATATGAAAAATATATCAAAATGCATGTGGGTACTCAAATGAAAGCTCTTGATGAGTCTAACATCGGGATGAGCTTATATTTTTAAAAACGTCAATATTTAAGAAAATACAGTGCATTTTAACAAAAATCATTATTTAAAAAAGCAAAATTTAATTTATTTATAGTTCACAACTCACGGCAGTCACGTAGTGACTGCAAGGTTGCTAGTAAATAAATAAATAAATAAATAAATAAATAATATTTATAAAACACAACTTACTTTCTTTTGGCCTGAGAGTTCATTAATAAAAGCTCGACCCAGTCACGGTCCTTCAAAATCTTGGGAACATCATCACCACTCTGCCTCATTACTTCAACCTCTATCTGAAGTACTTTATGCAGCCGCAGCATCTCAGGCTCCTGCAGCATTTTCTCCAGCCGATCTTTTGCTTTGTCATGTTTGTTCTTCAAACTCCATGACTCTCCTTCTTCCTCCAGTAATTCTTCATCTATACACGTTCTATCCGGTTGCTTTGGCTTGGTTGGAGTATGAGTATTCCGACTGTTTGCCGCAGCCGCCGACGAGTAGCATGTACGAGTGAAATTATTTTTTCCTCGAGGAAATTTTGTTTTAAAATGATTATTTATTCTTGTGCCCGAATATTTTCGACTGACAGTCAATAAATTGCGTAAAACTCTGCTGTACATTTTGAACAAATAAATTTACTCTGAAAAAAAATTACAAAGTTAAACTCACGTGGGATCTTTGATCGTTAGGTTAATAATGCTTTCATGCTAAAAATTTATACATACATTTTTACACTGTGTTATTTATTGAATTAATTACACGTGACACTAATTGTCCATAACAAAGTCAAATAATTATAAACAGTCAATTATTTCTTCTTTATTATTTTTATTTCTTTACCTTTTTTACAAAAAATATTTTATTGCAGTCACTGTTAGCAGTAATTATCACGTTTTAACTCTAGAATTATTTATGTCGCGCATGCGCACGCGCGGTAATTTAAAAATGCGAATAAAGAGGGCGCTTGGAAAATTTTTTATTTAAAAAAAAAATTTTTTTCGAAAGAAGGAAGCCATTTTTTTTAAATAAAAAATTTGACAATTAAATAAACCGAAGTAATTTTTAAAATAATGAATAATAAACTAAGGCCTGATTTGCAGAACATTATTGATCAATTTATCGACCTGACTGCTGTAATTGTTTTTTTTTTAATAATTAATTTTTTAACAAACTGAAGTTTGCATAAAATAATTTTTTTGTCAACAAAAAACTGTCAAAAATTATTTTAGTTAGAAGATCGGTTTTTAAAAATAGTTTTAATTGTAGTATAGGTTTTTAAAAATTATTTTATTTTCCATATTTAATTAATTAATTAATTTATTTATTTATTAACAGATGATTTATTATTTTTTTGTAGGACAATTTTAAACTGTCATTAAAATTTTGAGGTTATTTTTCAGGATCATCAGGTATTAAAGAAGAGTCTTACTGCTCGAGAAGAAATAAATAATTCGCTGATTATGGCTTCTAATAGAGCTCAGAAACAATTGGACATATTAATACCTCAAGTCGAAAATTTTCTTGAGTATGCCAAAAAGAAGATAAAGGAACAAAAAACTAGAAGTAATAACAATCATTTTATTTAATATTAATCTTAATTTTAATATTTATGAAATTGAGAGACATTTTATAATTTTTTAGTATTTATGAAAAGTAAATTAGCCGACACTCAACAATTTTTTATTTTTTATTAATTAAAAATTAGAACTAAGAAAATATTTTAAAAAAATTCCACGTATAATTTTTAAAATTTTCTACATGTGAAAATTTTTGTTTTAATTTTAAAAAAATTTTTTTTCAAAAAAATAAGTTATAAAAATTTTTAAATGTCGGTTTATTTAATTTTCATTAGTATTTTATGATAAAAAAATTAGATACAAAATTCATGAAAATTAATTTAGCAGATATTTTATAATTTTAAGAATTTTTTTTTTACAAATAAATTATGTCAAAGAAAATGAGAAAAAAAAAATTGACTTTTAGAAAATTAAAAAAATAAAAAATCCAATTTTTTAGAAATAATTTTTCGGAGCAAATTTATTTATTAAAAAAAATCAAAAAATTGTCAAGCGACTGCTAACTTTAATGACATACAAAATTCTGCAAGTAACAATTGTTAAAAAAGATAAATTAAATTAATTAAAAATAATTTATTTGTTAAATAAAACCCAAATATGGTGAAATGTCTGCTAATTTAAATGTCATTAATTATCACTGATTAAAAATCCTGATTGAAAAGAATTGAGAATTGATATATCTATATATTCAAACAAAAAAATTGAAATAATTGAAAAGAATTCAAATTTCATATTTTTTCAATTATTTTTAATTAGTATTTTTGGTAATTATTATTACAAGTGGGGTCAACCCATGCTGGGTCATGTTAAATTTTTTTTTTTTTTGTTCAAATTATCCAATTTTTTTTTTTAATTTTTTTTCTCG